ATTCTGCTGTGCGTCATCCTCTGAGTCGGAGTCGGAGTCGGAATCCGAATCGGAACTTTTAGTGGATTTCGGGGCGTCGAGCATGTCTTCGTCATCGTTTCCGGTAGGATTTTCGTCGGGAAGTTGAGGTGGATGGGTAGAGGAATCTAGGGTTACGGTTTCCGCCATGTTTAAATTTTTACTTCAGCTTCCCCGAGATAGTTCTGCAGAGTGTCAAGCTATGCGACGCCGTAGAAAAGACCCACTGTTCTTACCCTCTGTTTGGATCACTGTTCCATCGCTTTAAAATGTATTGGTCTCGTCCTTTTATAATGTATCATATTGTACCGTATTATATTGTATCGTATTGTTTTATAAATACAATGTTTGAATAGATTGTATTATTTGTTGTTGTTAAATAACATTTTGTTGTTTAGTTTGACTGTATATACTGTACTGTAACTGATAAGTTTACTAAAATACCCTCAATTATTTTAAATATTTAATTTAAGAATTACACAAGTGTTATTTTATGGTATTTATGCTATGTTATGGATTTTATGGTATTTTATGTTGTTTTATTATGAGTCTATTGATAGTACTAATATAGTGTCTCTTGTTGCCTCTTTGAGCCGAGGGTCTCCTGGAAACAGCCTCTCTGCCCCTCGGGGTAGAGGTAAGGTCTGCGTACATATTACCCTCTCCAGACCCCACTTGTGGGATTACACTGGGTCGTTGTTGTTGTTATTGTTGTAAGAATTACACATAAAAATTATTTAAGAAAACCCCTTTCTGCTAATTTATCACCAATTATGTCTTATATATAAATTAAGCAATTAAATTCGTGCAAATTCTATCAAAATTAGTTGACCAAGTTAATAATATTAAAAATAATAATAAGTACACTATATTTATAATTAGATGATAATAAAAAAAATGTTAAGCAGACTCCATCCAGAATTTAGACCATAAGTAATATTTCCTAACAGCATGACACATAATTCATAACTTAAAGTATATAGCATAAAAGATTTCTAACAACGTAACATATAATCCATAATGAAATACTCATATCCAATAAAATCCTTAACGGTTATACCATAAAATAATAACACTTTGCACACTTAAAACAACCAATATCATAAAGCTAATTGGAGATAAAATAATTAGAATTGGAATTACAAATCAAAATAGAAGAAATAATAAGACAAAAGTAAAACAAAACCTATACCCGAAGAGTATGGAAGCGGCAGAAGGAATAAACAAGTTTTTCACGCATGTAGGTTATTAGACTTCACCTATATATGTTATATTTGGGATGCTGACTTCGCGTAGATATCTATTATAGAATTATAGAATTATATGAGAAAGAGACTTTGCTATTATTTAAAATAAAAAAAGGGTAAAGGGTAAAATAAAATTATAAAGTAATAAGTTAGGGCATAATTAGAAAGAAAAATAGGAAACAATCCCACCACATCAGATCCGTTGTTTTAAAAAGTGGGACTTTTCATTGTTCCGAAACAATGGATTTAACAATACAATACAACCAATTTTAACTAAACAATCAAAACAAACATTATTCTAGGAAAACAATATAATACGATACAATGGGTAACAACCATCCAAACAAACTGTTAGTTGTGGTTGTTCGAGAAAAACAAATTACTATTTCATAAATATAATTCGAATATTTTTAATTAAAAATTATGATTTCTTACTTTTTGGTATTTGATTTCTTAAAGACGAAATACATAAAACGCCCATTTAAGTTATCCTCAAGGATCAACCGAACACTGAGGCCATCCAGCTAGACACTTTATTTATTGGCAAAATACCTTATCACCTCCCTAGCTAAACTTGTCATGGATTATTAGTTACAGTCTTAAACTATTCGTGATCTTAATTACCCCCCTCAACTATGCCTTTTGAGAGTCATTACTCTCTGGACGCTGATGTGGCGAATTGTGTGGGTGCACTCGCCTGCCACATTGATTTTTCTGTACATGTGGCATTTTTTGAAAAATAAAATATATTTTTACCTTTTTAAGTATGTTACTTTTTTAGATAATTTTTTCGAATACAATTTATAATAAAACTTGGATAGAACTATATTATTTAGGTTAATTTTTTTATTTGGCTAAAAATAATAAAGTTTTAGTTAATTTTTTTTAAAATAAAGATTTATACAATTGAAATAAATAGTCAAGGCATCTAAAAAGTTATAAAATACATGGTTTGAAATTACTTATTTTGGCTATAATATTTTATATAACTCTAAATTATGGTGCTCTAAAAATATTTTTTTTTATAGATTTTACCTGAAAAAAGTAAAAATATACAGTTGAAATAAATAGTCATTGAATCAAAAGAAGAAATAAAAAGAGTGAAGAATTGCAAGAAATAATTTATTATTTCTGACATGCTTATTGCTCTAAAAAATACTTATTATAGAGATGCAGGGTAAGGTTGCATACGATAGACCCTTGTGGTAAGGTATTTTGCTGACGAGTAAGGTATTTTGCCTTATTTATTTGCAAAAGAAGATCAACTAAACAACTGACCATGTCAGCTCCCGTTGCGTGAAATGCACCCTCTGGGACGCGAGTTGTCAACCTAAAATTAGGTTTTTTCTTCTTTTTTTACACCCCCCTTCTCCTCCAATTTTCTCCTCCACCATTCAACACCCTCCTCTACCCTAAATCACCTTTGCCTCCATTACAAAATAACAAAATTACCAAATATATCATCACGTCAATTCAACAAAAATTTTATACCAAACTCATTCTTCTCTTTCACCTGCTCTGAATCTCAATCTAGCAGAGAATAGCAAAAGCCAAGAAAGAAACTGGATTTTGGTATTCAATCCAGTTTTCGAATTTGTCACGACTCATTTTCTGAACAAGCCGGGACCGACACTCAATCACTAAACATGACCGAGCGAACCATCTCTGCTTATCAAATCTATTATAACTCCAAACTTTATATGCAACAAGACAATACTCTAACCAAATACGTTTGATTAATTTAAATATTTAAATAAATTAACTCCAAAACTTTATTCGTAGTAACTACTGAATTACTACTAAGTTATTATCAAAAACATCTGAATCTTAACCCACGACTATATCTATGAAGCCTCTACTAATAAATTGACGCTCTGCTCAGGACATGAGATTTCCTGGCCAGTTCTCTAAGTAAACAAAGAAATAACTAAATAAAGATGACTCTAAGGAATACACCACGAACAAAAGCGGAGCTCACCAATAGCACTGGAAGAAAATGAAGTCCTAACTCGTAGCCTGCTCGCCTGCAAAACCGGTTCCTACGTTGTACCGCAGACCAACGTAGGTTCCCAAAAGAGAACGTCAGTACCATCCATTGTACTCAGTGAGTCTCAACAACAGGGGGCGGAACTTTAATAACATATACATTATGGGCAAAAGTTCTAAATGCATGTAAAACATAAAGCTTATAAGAATAATTCTAAAATAATTACATAATCGCAGTTTATGAATATTCTAAAAGAAATCCTTTTCTTTTTCTTTCTTATAAAAAAAATACTTCACTTTATTCTTTGGGAGTTCCAACTATCCTAACTTAATTCTATCTCAGTCACCGTGTGATCGGCACGGGTTCAATCCGAACCTGATCGACTAGGCCCAATCCATGAGGTGTCACTCGCTTCATGGTTCTCAGCGCTCATGTATCATACCTTAGCATGGCTAAGTAAATGCTCAGCAACGAGACCTCGGCTCGTGTGCTCCCTACTTTGGCACAAGTAGTTTCAGGAAGTCAACGCCTTGGTCAGGACCCTCAGCTTGGACGATGACCCCTTCTCAGAATAAAGGATACTCCCAAAAATCTTTTCTTTCTACAACTTCTTCTTGTGACTTTTCAAGTCTAAATCTTTTCTTTATGAACCTCATGTACATGCTCATGTTGGTATCCTTAAATGTAAAGCATGGTATAAGAATGAAATAAACATGTAAAAGTATTTCTAAGATTCTTGCTTATTCATAAATTTTCAACATGAAAATAGCATATAAGAATCACACAAAGAACTGAAAATTTATGCACATATATCATAATAAATCATCTAAACTTTTGCTAGAATAATTCTAAGTTAATAGGTACTCACTCACTCCAATTAAGTAAATATGTCTCTTTTAAGCAATTCATCAAATACCTTGTATGCATGCTTTTGTGAGTTAAACCACTTTAGTAAAGGGGTTATATCAACTCACCTCAAAACTTCTCGAGCCAATACGTAGACCCCAGTCCAATTGACACCAATCAAACAATCGATTCTACAACAACCAGTGCATTTTAATCAATTTTAAAGTTTCATACCTAAACATGAAATTTGTTGTTGATATAGAGGAAGAAGGAAATTAACTATTCTATTCTTACCTACTACTACTTTAGGATAATTGAGAATAGAAAATTCTATGTACCTGAGTTCAAGAATTAGTGATTGGTAAGTACCCTAGAATATTATTTGCCCATGTGAGTACCTGCTAGGATGTGTTCTGTTTTTGTTTTGTGCACAGAAGTCCTTTTCTCTAGTTTCCCGTAACCCCTCTTTCCCAAGGCTTAAGGCTTTAAACCTTCTTCTTTTCCCTACAAAATTATATGGGGTAAAAAATTATATGGGGTAACCATTATTTAAAGTTGTATTTATTTTCATCCAGCATTTTTAATATTAAGCAAAAGTAGCCACTAGTTTATTAAAAGTAATATGAAAGGACGTTGTTACCCTTTCCTTCCCAAACGAAAATACAGTGGTATCATAGACATAGGAGTTTTGAGGGTTGATTTCTATGGAGATCTTAAAAATGGTTGGTTCTCTTAAATGAAACTGGTTTATAAAGTGGCCCCAATTTTAGTTCTCTAAAAGCATAGGATTCTCTCTTTTACTTTTACCTACTAAACTCCTTGTCAATGGATCTGAACCATTTGAGCAAAGGTTCAAATACCAATACCTACGGAAGTCATATTAGTACAAGTTTTTAAATATCTTAGTTATATTTGTTTCTGTGATCAAATAGGAAAAAACTAAAAAGAGAATGTTGATAGCTCAAAAGTGTATATCCAGGGTATTTTCCAGTTTTCACTAGCCTCCTACTTGACACGGGACCTGCATGTGGTGCTTCTCGTATGTATTCCTCTATAGTTGCCAGAAAGGAAGCAGGAGGCTGCAAAATTACCATAAAAGAAGCAAATTAAGAAAACAATTTGATTCAAAAAGATTGTGTAATTTGACATCAATCTTATAGGTAAATTGCAATTATTATTATTTTTATTTTTTTGTGAAAAGATACAAATAACGTTTGATTTTCTGCTACATTATGAATCCTGAACTTACAGTTACAAGTTCAAAAGTGAAGTACACTTGGTCTTGAATTTCGAGTTCCAAGTTCAAAGTTAAGGATACTTGGTCCTGAACTTAGAATTACAAGTTTAAAAGTTAAGGACACTTGGTCGTGAACTTAGACTAACAAGCTCAAAAGTTAAGGACAATAGATCTTGAACTTACAATTACAAGTTCAAAAGTTAAGGACAATAGGTCCTGAATTCCTGAACTTAGACTAACAAGCTCAAAAGTTAAGGACAATAGGTCCTGATCTTAGGCTAAGAAGCCCAAAAGTTAAGGACAATAGGTCCTGAACTTACAGTTACAAGTTCAAAAGTTAAGGACAACAGGTCCTGAAGTCCTGAACTTAGACTAACAAGCTCAAAAGTTAAGGACAATAGGTCCTGAACTTAGGCTAAGAAGCCCAAAAGTTAAGGACAATAGGTCCTGAACTTACAGTTACAAGTTCAAAAGTTAAGGACAACAGGTCCTGAAGTCCTGAACTTAGACTAACAAGCTCAAAAGTTAAGGACAATAGGTCATGATCTTAGGCTAAGAAGCCCAAAAGTCAAGGACAATAGGTCCTAAACTTAGACTAACAAGCTCAAAAGTTAAGGACACTTGGTCCTGAACTTAGACTAACAAGTTCAAAAGTTAAGGACATGTAGTCCTGAACTTAGAGTTTCAAGTTCAAAAGTTAAGGACATGTAGTCCTGAAGTCCTAAAGTTAAAGACATGAGTAGAAGGGTATTTTCGTCCGGGCAGTTAAAGTTTATTAAAGCAGTGACTAAAGACTAAAACATTTTAAACAGTGGCTTAAAAGTAAATACATGTGTTATTAGTGGCTAACCATGCACTTCCCCCACAATAGGCACACCACTCAATGGGCTTTAAGCCCAATTCTTACGTCACTTTTTTTTTCTTCCTTTTTTTGGACTTAACAAGTATTTAATGGTATCCACTTTTAATAATTAATAATATTAAAACTATTAATATTTTTCTAATTATATATATATATATATATATATCACTATAGGCAAGATAAAAATAATAAAAATAGTAATAATTTAGTTCTATAATTAGCGTGTCTCGAACCTTTTATAAATTTGAAGAGTGTTATAGAATCTCATTCCTTCCCCGTTCAATCCTCTTCCCTTCCTCTCCCCCTCCTCTAAGTAATGTGGCATTTTGGTAGTCAATGTATTTAATATTTGTTCTTTTATAAAAAAAACATTTATATATTTAGAAATTACTCAGTGAACAGAACCAATTTCGACGGAAAAACTGGAGGTTGCGGGAATTTTTTAACTCATTTGGTTCTTTTTACTCTCTCTCGTCAAAAAAATGAAGTTTCTTCTTATGCTCTTCTTTATCATCATATTCAGACGCTAATGACGTGCCATTTTCTGAAAAGAATTTGTTGCTCCGAAGGCAGCGATTGGTAGCGATGCGGCGACAGAAATGGAGGAGTCGGCGGCTGCTATGTAAAATGAGAGAGGAGATGATAAAGAAGTTTCTTTAAATGTATTTTTTTTGTTAATTACATGTGTCAAATTTTTATGGCAAAATTACACGTGTCATTTTTTGTTTGGTCCATTTGACATGTCACTGGCAAGTGCAATTCACACATATGATCTGTTGTACTCGGGTGTTTACTTGACCTACTTAATAGCCACTTAAAGTGTTAAAATGAAAAATGATTCGATTGAGGTGTTTAGTTGATCGTCAATTTAAAGGAGTGCTTTATGTATTTCGCCTTCTTAAAATATAAAAAGATTTACTCACAAATTAATGAATATATTTTCTAATTACAATAAATTAGATGCTCTGAAGCATGTGAATTTTTATTTTATTTTATTTTTGTGGTCGAAAGAAAGTTTTGTTCATAATATTGGAATATCATTTCATTAGTAATAGAGATACTAAAGTTACTAAGAACATTTAGGTTACCACTTAGAGGTGTCAATATAGCCAGCCGAGCGCATGTGCACTTTAGTAATTGATTGGGTTGGGCTAGCCCACCATTTTGATAGGCCTTATAATGGTCAACCCATTTCAGTACTATGTGGGACGCGGGCCCCCACGGACCGATCCATTATTTTTTAAAATATAATTTATATTTTTTCTTTAAGTTCTAATCTAAAAATAGATAAATATTTAAAAGTTAAAAAATATCTTAATGGATTTTTTTTTTTTGCAAAAGTTAATAACTTTTTATAGTATTCCAACATATCACAATAAACACTAAAAAGGTAAAAGACAAGACTATATTTCTTTCACTAAAAGTCAAAAACTCAAAAAAAAAAAACTTTTCAAGAGAACGTCCATGACGCTTATGGGATATCCAACACATCATCTTCATCAAACACATCTGAATCCGTTTGTAATAAGGTTGTCTTAACATATTCACTTTTATCTACGTCTACAATTCATATGCAATATTAATAGTTAAATATTAAGAATAATTAAATTTTAAAAACTAATAATATTCACATTCACATAAAAATATATTACCAGCTTGAGTTTAGGAAAAGCTGTGCAACCAATTGCGAGTATTATCAAGTGTTTGGACATTTTCGTGATGGATGCAACCTCTGTATTTTGTTAGAATACGCCCATATAATGTTAAATGTTGATTCTGATGCTATAGTGGTAATAGGAATACTAAGTACACCACGCGCCATGACTGAAAGATCGGGATATTTTCTAGAATGGTCCTTTCAATACATGACAACATCCATCTTTTGAAACTTCTTAAGATCAAACTTTGGTTCCTCTAAGTAAAGATTCAATTCTGACTTTCTACCGCTAGAGATAGTACAACAACAACAACAACATTCCAGTATAATCCCACAAGTGAGGTCTGGGGAGGGTAGTATGTACGCAGACCTTACCCCTACCCCGAGGGGCAGAGAGGCTGTTTCTAGGAGACCCTCAACTCAAGAAATCACCAAGTGACGATATATTAGTACTATTGATAGACTCATAATATAATAACATAAAATACATAAAAGAAATTAAAATAGCAAAATAACAGCCATATAAGAGAATATAGGAAATACGAAAGAGATGGAAGGTAAACTAATATCCAGCGTATAAAGCCCTGCATCAGTAGCTAACCAGTAGTATCCTAATCCTAACTCCTAACGGGCTAGTCTCACTCTAGTGCGCTGTATAGATATTCACAACTTCCCCTAACCTTCAACCTTAATGTTCGACCTCCACAATCCCCTGTCTAGGGCCATGTCCTCAGTAATCCTAAGTCGCGCCATGTCCTGCTTGATCACCTCTCCCCAATACTTCTTAGGTCTCCCTCTACCTCTCCTCGTACCCACCACCGCCAATCACACCTCTTCACAGGTGCATTAGTGCACCTCCTCTGAATGTGCCCGAACCATCTGAGTCGTGCTTCCCGCATCTTGTCCTCTATTGGTGCCACTCCCACCCTCTCTCGAATATCTTCATTCCTAATCTTATCCATCCTTGTATACCCGCACATCTACCTCAACATCCTCATCTCTGCTACTTGCATCTTCTGGATGTGTAGGTTCTTAACCGGCCAACACTCGGTACCATACAACATGGCAGGTCTAACTACTGCTCTATAAAACTTACCTTTTAGTAACGGTGGCACTTTCTTGTCATACAGGACTCCCGTCGCTAACTTCCACTTCATTCACCCCACCCCTATACGGTGTGTAACATCCTCGTCGATCTCCCCGGTCCCTTGAATAACTGACCCAAGGTACTTGAAACTACCCCTCTTAGGTATGACTTGAGATTCAGGCCTCACTTCTACTCCCTCGTCCGTCGCCTCGTCCCCAAATTTGCACTCGAGGTATTCCGTCTTCATCCTGCTCAATCTGAACCCTTTAGACTCAAGGGTCTGTCTCCAAACCTCTAGCCTCTCATTGACGCCGCGTCGGGTCTCATCAATTAGGACTATGTCATCAGCAAATAGCATGCACCATGACACCTCCCCTTGAATATTGTGCGTTATGGCATCCATCACCAGGGAAAATAGGAAAGGGCTGAACGCCGACCCTTGGTGCAACCCTGTAACAACCGGAAAATGCTCAGAGTCGCCTCTTACTATTCTAACCCGTGTCTTAGCTCCATCATACATATCTTTAATCACCCTAATGTATGCAACCGAGACCCCTTTAGCCTCTAAGCAGCTCCATAAGACTTTCCTAGGTACCCTGTCGTACGCTTTCTCTAGATCGATAAACACCATGTGAAGATCCTTCTTCTTATCCCTGTATTGNTCTTTGTGGCCACCGGTGCGTCCAGAAGATATACCTAACACCTCTTTCGCCGCCTTCCTTATGCTATCTACCGTCGTCTACCACATAGTGTTTGCGTCCCCACTACTTCTCCAAGCTCCCATTGCCGATAACCTTCCTGCCAACTCCTGAGCTTTATCCTCAGTCAAGGCGCCCCACCTAATCCTCGAGCGGCCTCGTACTGACCTCTTCTTCCTATTTATCATAATACCAATGTCCATCACCAAAAGCCTATGTTGCGTTGCAAGGGTCTCACCTGGGATAACTTTGCAATCCTCGCACCACCTTCTGTCGCATCTCCGGAAAAGGAGATAGTCAATCTGAGTCTTCGCCGCCGAACTTTGGTAAGTAACCAAATGCTCCTCCTGCTTCGGAAAACTTGAGTTTGCAATCACTAGATCGAATGCCTTGGAAAAGTCCAGCAGCAAAGTGCCCCCTCCGTTTCGTTCCCCAAAACCAAAGCCGCCATGCACCTCAGTATAACCACCTGCGGACAACCCAATATGACCACTGAAATCTCCTCCTATAAATAACCTCTCGGAAGGTGGAATGCTACAAACGATGTCATCCAACCCCTCCCAAAAGCGCATTTTAATCTCCTCATCCAAGCCAACTTGCGGCGCGTACGCGCTAACGACATTTAAAGTACACTCACCCACCACCAATTTAATAGTCATTAGTCTATCATTCACCCTCCTGACCTCAACCACCGACTCTCTAAGATGACTATCAACCAGGATACCCACTCCATTCTTACCCATGTGGACTCCAGAGTACCACAACTTATACCCATCCGCGTT